TGTGTGTGTGTGTGTGTGTGTGTGTGTGTGTGTGTGTGTGTGTGTGTGTGTGCGTGCGTGCGGGTCATCCTTGCACTTCTCTGTATCAATTTTAATTTTTAACGAATGTCTGGAAGGACAACAGACAATGAACAGACATACAACTTTGCAAATCTGTCTAAAGTTCTCTGAAGTATGTCGGCATGAAAAGACAGAACGTCATAAGTCATCTGTCATCACTCGATCAAGCATGGAACAAGTGACATCTGTCATGCACATATGCAGTGCATCTCTTGATGCTGATGGACAGTTGTGCAAGCCCCAAGATATGTGAATTCTAGGATAAAACCTACTGAAGCATACTCGAGCCTTTCCTCGTGGGATCTAATCAAACAAGATGTGTGTGTTAAGAAGTGCACTTTCCTCTCATGTGCACTTTCAGTGCAGTATCCATCACTCGATCTTTTGCTGTCCCCTTATGTGTAACTCAGTCATTGATGCTGTCCCCTTATGTGTAACTCAGTCATTGATTGGGGGGAATACCTGCATAAGCTCCTGGAAAATGCAGGGAAGCGACACTTACAAGCAAACTATTTCTCACAACTAATTTTTGTTTAGCCATATTGTAAGATATGCCACCGAGCAAATCGTCATCGTCTTGTGGCATCATATGATATGCTTGAAGTTGCTAGCAGGAGTATCTATGGCTTTGATGTGTGGGAGGCTACGGTCTTTTTGTTTCTCATCAACGATTTGAAGACCGTATTACTGGCTCTCCACTGGGCAGTCGCGAGGAGTTGTGTTTTCTTTCTTTTTGGTGTAAACAGTGTAAAGCAAGAACGTGCCTGATATGGGTTCTTTGTCCTTCTCTGCAATATGCATGCCCACTAATATGCAGCTTCAAGTCACATCGAAGGATGCCACCATATCCCAGCTGCAAACATCCCTAGCAAACTGTAAGGATGATAATGTCCAGCTTGCACAACAGCTCAGGTAATGTTACTTCCAACTCTAAGGCGTTTCCAGCATATAGCGAAGTGATTGAACTCTCATGTTGCCATGAGAGGGACCCATCTTGAGCCCACACAATAAATCCAAGAACTCCAATACTTATCATAGATATCCTGTCTTCAGTCGTTGGCACCTGTGTCATGCTATTGTCAAGCACAGATGGTAATTGTGAACCATTCTCGCTCAACTGGTTGTCTCCCATCAATGTGATGCTGTTCAGTTATTTAGGACATGCAGCCTGAATATGGCAGGTGAGAGACCCTGGGAACCACAGCGGAAACCCAAAGCTCATGCATTTCTGATCTGAGAGTGTATGGGGTGCAGGTGGCTGATGGCCTGAGGGGGATGACCCGGGGTGCAAGGGGTGATGTAATGTGGATGGGGCAACAGGGGCATGGGTGGGGGGAAGGGGGAGTGTAGTCGGTGCCCCTTGGGGGCTAGTGAGGTAAATTGCTGTGCAATGGTCTCAAACAATCAGTACATGGCCCCAGCCAACTTGAGAATCATGATTGAGCCTCATCGGAAAAATGGGTGGCGGCACCAGCCAGAACTAAAACAAAAATGCCGTGCTGGCGTTTCGACAAAGCTTGCCACGCAGTGGTAATCCGCCTCATACACAAGAGGTGCAGATTTACTGGTCCTTTAATTGCGGGGTCAGTCTTCAGGCAGCTAACGTCGGAGTTCAGGGCTATGGTCTTGTCTAGCAACAGAAAAACGACAGCAATGGCAGCCGCAACAAAACAAAAGCAACAATGATAAACGAGGGAGAATGAACAGCAATAAAAACAACGACCACTATAACTATGACAGTCACAATGATAATCACATTGAAGGCACAATGACAACAAGAGATGCCACAACCACAAGCACCACACTCGCTGCCAGAAACGATCACGGCCACAAGGCCCACAACCATAAACACTACCACAGTGCAATGAGCGCACATAAAGCCACAAGTACTGCTGCAAACAACAACCACAATCACCACCACTTCAACAATGAATATCATCACCCACACAACAATGAGGACTGCAATGACTACAAGCGGGCAAGCAAAGGAAGAGGAGGTGAGGGTTTCCGCTAGATTTGTGGCAGTGACAATAGGGTAATGGGCGCTGATAACTGGTTCTCAATTTTAAGTTAATGCCAATGGCTCGTGGTGCACTAAGTCAGTGTCCACAGTCCATTATGTAACCCTGCTTGGCACCCAAATTGGTTGGTTTCCTTCTAGGTTGCTTTGCTCAGTCCCAGGTTGCTCGGGGTCCTTCGTTTGCTGAAGTTAGGTTTCTGAGAAAGGAGAGGACCACCCTTTACAGCATGGCTGAAGCAAGAGCACACGTGACATTCCCCCCCCCCCCCYCCCCCCGCCCCTGCCCTTTTGCGGCACAGTTATTGGCTTACGCCTGTTCACAGAATCCTACCCACTTGACCAACCTAGGAATGCACATGCTTCAAATCAACCTTGATGTAACCATATACTGAACTCTTAATCACCTTCATCCAGCATATTAGTTGATGAGGCATCCGCAAATGTGTTGAGATCACTATGGGTAAAGAGAATTGACGTAGTAGTTCACATATAATTAACATGGGGGGAAAGTACTGCTGCTTGTGAAATTGTGACGATTGGTACTCCTTGGTTCAGGGGGGAGTAACAACAGAACTGTTTCAGTTTCTGCAAACTGTTTGGATGAATTGTCTGGACAGGGAAATCCTTTTTGTTATGAATCATCTCTGTTATGAATGTGTGGTTTCTCCCATCAAATGTCAGTTCTCTGTTATGAATGTGTTGTTTCTCCCATCAAATGTCAGTGTTCATCGGAAGGTACTCGCAATGGGGTACGGCCGGCTGTGCCAAGATTTTCTGGCCCGTCACGAGCTCATACCTTTGTGTACTTGCGTGCTTCTGTCATTTTGTATCTGCTCAAATCTACCCACCATTTGGTAGATGAGCCGCCACACTGCATCACAGTGCGACACTTTTCCTCCCTTGGTTGTAGGCCATTTGATGTTGATCTGGGTGGCTGATACTGTGGCTATGTTTTCCAGTTAGGTGGTTTTGAATGGTAGTGTTCCAGATTGTATTTTGGCACGGCTTGGCTCATGGTGTGCCAATTTTCCTCCCTCCCAATGGTTGTAGGTAGTTCGATGTTGATCTGGGCAGCTGTGTTGTGAAGTCAGAACGTTTTCAAGGGTCATGTACAGATTCGATTTAGCTTCCACTTACGGATTTTCCCGAAATTCCGGTGATCTGTAGCTGGTGTTTTCAGCGGGTGGTGGTGCACATTTGGAGTTGTTACAATGGCGGAAAAGCTGAGTGCTGGGCGGAAAACTAGGGACCTGAAGTGATAGTCCACTGGAAAAAAGGAGAAGTGGGCCCTTGCAGCTGAATGGTACACACACGGACTTCTTTTTCTTTTTTCTTTTTTCTTTTTTTAAACAGAGCCTTAAGGCCCTGGTTCCATATCCATTCTGGGGAGCGTCAGTCCGGTTCCTCGTCCACCGTCAAGTCGAAAACATACAATGAGTACACACTCCAACGCTTCTCCTCATTATGGCTGGGAGACCCGAGCTGGTGTCATTGATTATTTCCCCTGGGAAGGATGTACCACCCCTCACCCCTGCCTAAGTTGGCTGTGTCTCTACTTTTCAGTCTGCAGACCTCTGGCCCTGCCTGGACACATTTAACTATTGGCAAATTTGGCTGAAACTTGTTTGGCTGGGCAGTTTTCTTTAATTCTGGGATTCTGCGGCTGTGGATGTCAAGTTGTGCATGTTGTGGACAACAAGATCACCTTTAGAGTTGTGGCCCCTACTATTCCTTCCTCTCGTACCCCCAGTGCACCCCTATCCAATCCCAGTTTGTTGTTGTTCGCTGTGGAGGTGTGCATTCATTTAGCTCTCTACTGGATGGGTTCTGTGCTTCTGAATTTGCTGCAGGAGACTTGAGCATGCAGCTTTCCATTTTAAATCAAGCCCTGCTCCTCGGACGGTACCACTTCATGCTTGACCTATTGTTACTTGTACCAACGTTCCCCCTTCGGGCCACCTTATCCCTTCTTCTTCTTCTTCTTCTTTCATCCCTTTGCTGTTCTTGCATTTGTGTTTTTGACCTCTTTCGTTCTCATTTTTTCAGAGTACAGGTTGCATGCCCAATGTGCTGTCACAGACAGGCGCCATAAGGGCGTTGAATCCCAGCTAAAACCATGGGGTCTTCTGCCCTCTTTTTTCGTTTGGTGTAGCTAAACACTAGCTGAAATTTCAAGAAATGTTATGACCCTGGATGTCTTACAGTGCAACAACTCAAAGACGGACAATGCCCGTCAATCGCCACTGAAATGAAAGAATTTGGAAGAGAAATACACGAAGGAAGAAGAAGACATAAGAATCGAAGGAGGAGAAGAAGAAGGAGAAGGAGAAGAAGAAGAAGAAGAAGAAGAAGAAGAAGATGATGATGAACACCAGCAAAGACCAATGTCAATCCACTTCATCTTGCCACCATCTTCAACCTCCAATTACTCCCCCGCCTTCTTCTTAACAATAGTAATAAGGGGAAATTGCATCTGTACCCCACTTAAAGATGGGAATACCCACTATATCCAGTCCCAGAGCCCAACTTGTATCTATACCCAGACCGTGTCCAACTTAAGGTAATGCCCTACTTTTCCCGTGCACCAACTTATGGCTACCCAGCCACAAAGGCCCTTGGCTGCGGAGCACAAAAATTATGGTTATGTTATGATTCTGGTTGTCTGCTGTCTGAAGACCAACACTCACTCACATGAACTCCCAGGTATGCCCATACATACACGGGGAGAGGATAGGAGTATCACACCGCACAGAGAGAGATAAACACAGCGGAAGACTTGACCATGCGGTATGACAGGGTACACTGAAAGTGCAATTCACTCCACTCAATCCTCACAACCAGTCATAAAGAAAAGCCGAGTAGATCACATCCAAGAAACAATGAAACGATGATAGTCCAAACCCAGTATTACACTGTTTATTAAACTCAGAGTCTCAAATTGTCAGAATAACTTCAGACCTACAGTGCGCTGCTCAGAAATGAGCAGCAATTCACTCCCCAACCCTGAGTAACCACTCGTTACACCCCTGAGTCCCTAAAACATCAAGTGCCACCCCATTACTGCCTCCCGAGGGCAGCGCCACCCTGAAACAGGCCTCTGAGGCCAAGCGCCACTCAGAGGGTGAAGAAGAAGACCAGTGCCACAGTATCTGATGATGACGAAGTGTCGAAAGACTTCCCGGGTGGAAGTCTGCAGCAGCGCCACCAAATCCTGACAAGATGACCTCTGAGGAAGAAGCTGCAGCTATGGCTGCAGCGCCACAATCCTGTGACCCCACTCCGGAGGAGGGTCCAGCAGGGCACCAACTTCTCTCGCCTCCAGCAGACCTCGGTAACCCAGACCTCTGACAGCCCCGCGTGCTGGCAGAGTACAGCGCAGGTCCCAGCTATGGCCGGCGCTCCGAAGGTCTGGCTATGTCTGTCTCCCACAACGCTGAGCCGTCACCACTTCCGGTTCACGCGTAGCGCAGCAGCGATGTACTCGGTACCAACTGCCAAAAGCCCTGAACCGATGTGCCCATCCTATCTATAACCTACACTAGCCTAGACACGACCTAGACCGGACTGACTGGACCGACCGGTACCGTTTCAGTTTCGGCCTCTTGGCCTCTACCTTACCCGGCTATAGGCTATAGGACCGTCTATCAGCATAGGCCTGTAAGGCCTGTCTGTCCTAGGGGTAGTCCGGGCCTGCTAATCGCAGTTAGGGTAGCTGTAGGAAATTCCAGTTAGTACGGGTCTATATTTTCCCAAATTTGCAGATATGTCCCTCACGAATTTCCTCACACTCAGCTGTCGCGGTTAGCCCTCAGTCAAACAAACTTACGAATCTAACCTAAGACGCGACCCGACCGAGGCAAGCCCCGAGCTTCGCCCTCGGCCCAATGTACAGGCCACTGAGAATCTGCAGGCTTCAGTACAGTTATGCCCAGGAACCGGGCAGGCAAAATTGGGGGTGCACATAATTTGTGCAATCAGACTCGCTATCTTTCACACTTCACATGTATGCAAACAGGTGCGCAGCAAACTGGCGACAAGCGCCCACTCGAAACTCAGAGATATGGTAGCAGAGAACACAGTTCAGATACAAGTTCACTTCAATGGCTATGGCGACACAGCGCCCACTCAACCCTCTGTTCGCACACACAGGATCACCCTGGATATCCCACACGCGTTACTCTGTACACACATACACACACACACACACACACACACACACACTGCAGGCTATCTACAGCTATGGCGGCTATGGCCGCTGCTACCCTATCGCTATGGCTAAACTTCTTCTCTCTCGCCCACTTCGTCCTCGGGCTCACTGCAGACCACCTCGCACAAGTCGCTGTGGCAGCACTTCCGCATGGCTCGCGCAGGAATCAATAAATGGCTGGACGCTGCCCTTTGGTTTATACTTCTGTAGCTCGTTGGTCTGGCCCGTTCCCTTGCCCGTGGTGCACACAGTCCCATGTGGTACTTGCTTGACTGGACTAGGACTGACTGGGACCGGTACTGCTGACTGCATGGGTTTGCACTGCCAACTCGATGCAGTCGCACTGCCGACATACTGCAGTTGGGCTCACCACTTGCCCACTTGCCCACTTGCCTCAGCCAAAACATGAGCAACTTCGAAAGGCCACTACTAGGACCTTCCGGAAGTCTGGGTCCTGGCCTTTCGAAGACTGTAGCAGCTACGACCTTGACCCTTCAGGATTGTAGCAGCTACGACCTTGACCTTTCAGAAGTTCTTCGGCTACGACTTCTAGAACTCCCTAGGACTTCTACTCGGCAGGTCTACAGATCGAACCCCTGCTACTTACGGACCCTACGACAGTCTACCAACTGTTACAAATACACAGGTCACGGGTTCAACTCTCGGGGTCGACACAGATACTGTACACAGGTAAGGTGAGATTTAGGGATCGAGCCCTGGGATCTGCATCGGCTACTGCGAACTGGTGAATACCGTTCCATTTGCCCAGTTATGTGCATAATTTAAGCATTCCGGTAGTTGGGTATAACTGCAATTTGGCGGTACCAACCTTGGCCAATCTCGGTCACAGGCATGCGAATACTTTGCACAGACCATTTCCCGGGTACAGATGCAAGTTCGGCACTGGGGCTGGGTATAGTGGGTATTCCAATCTTCTAATGGGGCACAAATGCAATTTTCCCTAATAATAATAATAACAATGAAAGAATAACCCAGAACCAAAGCCCGAATCTTCTCCTTACTGCCAGCCAATCAAAGGTTCCACCATAGCCATCTCATACACCTTCCTCCTACTTGGTCGAGCAGGTGGCTATGGTGGACTTCCGGAGTGAAGCTCCAATGTTCAAAGGACAACGGAAAGCTAATGTGTCCCTGCTACTATGGCCACCGAGCCTAGCACTGCCCTGGAAGTCTTCCTTGTAGGTGCTGGGCCCTTCGAGGTGCAGCGCCAACCAAGAAGATGAAGATGCAGACCACCATAGTCACTCAATCCAGCAGCAAAACTCACAAAACAACAGGTCTTTCTGTCTTATGATTTTGCAGGTCGTCACATCACCGCCCCCTCAAGAGCGAGGTCCCTTCATCAGAGTCCCCACAAAACGCATTGTAGGTTGTGATTGCAAAGAGCACTGCTGTTCGTTCACAAGCAATGGGACGATCAGTGAACGCTGGTGTCCAGTCAGGCGCAGCATAACGTACATATGCATTAACTACATGGGGTTCTTGTAACGGATGACACAGAAAATGGGCCTTGTACCGTCTGTCCTTTACCTTGCCTTTGTGTTCAACAACTCCATAAATTTTGTGACCGCCGTCGATATCACGAGGGATCATAGGATCGTGGTCAGAGAAGGAAGTAGCAGCAGTGTAGAGATAGAGTTCAGAAGCATGAAAGACAGGGTACATGCGCAGATGAGGTGGCACATCAATCACATACGAAGGACTGAAATCATAATCTCCCACACCTTTCTGAATTTGCCAAGGGCCGTAGTACAGTGGGTGTAGTTTATAGGACTCTCCTTCCTCATCCGGAAACTCAGACATCTTTACCCAAATGCAAGGTTTATGACCGGGAGCGATAGACAGAAAACAAGTTGCAAAATCACGAGATGCTCAGATAGTCGACTACCAAGAAGAGATCATAATGCACCAAGATACCATTCCAATAAGATCAATACAATGAACGTTGATGTCAATGTTGCCACACTCTGGACACACCAACATAGTATCCACTGTCCCTCCTACTGTGTGGCGCCTGGCGCCCACCCTACTCTACTCAGCCTATCTACCCTATCTACGTTCTTGCAGCTAGATCACATCGCTGTTGAAGACCAATGTACGTTGAATGCCGACCGCCTGCATACACCAGGTGCGTGCTCTCTCTCCTCCCCTCAACACCTCGTCTCCCCTCTTCTTCATGCGCCTCCTACCCGAAGACCACCATCACCACCTCTGCGCACCCGCACGCTCGGCCCGGCTATGGCCGCCGTGTGCCCACTGCCACCGCAGTGCCCTCACCACTAAGCGCCCCAGCCTGCCTGCATAGCACAGCTTTGCAGAGCAATGCAGCCGCATGGCTGCAATGTCTGCACAGGCCAGAATGCCCCAGCGCTTGGGCAGACAGTTTCCTTTATGGAAAGTGTGCCCGTGTCTGGCTGGCCTGGCCAGGCGTGTGGGGGCCCCAGTAGCTTGCCTCTGGCCCCAAGTGTCAGTGCACAGGCCCAGTTTCCGATACTGGCCCGGGCCCCATGCAGTTAGGCACGTTTGGGCAGCCACGCAGCTTCACAGTGTTCGCAGCATTCCCATTGGCTCTTGAGTCCCATACTTGCGGCGCATAGATGAAGTGCGCTGCACAGTGCGGTGCGCTGATCGCAGATGCGCGGAAAGAACAGAAAAAAAAAAAGAAAAAGAAAAAAAAAAAGAAAAGAAGAAGAAGAAGCAACCATGATGTGTGTGTACACGCTGGAGAGAGAGAGAAAGAGAGAGAGAGAGAGAGAGAGAGAGAGAGAGAGAGAGAGAGAGAGAGAGAGAGAGAGAGAGAGAGAGAGAGAGAGAGTATCTGGGACCCCTATCATGAATGTATCCAACCTGAAACACCTGTTAGGAACATTTCGAATGTTAGATTTCGATGGACGTGCGCACACACACACAAACATTACTTGTTTTTTTGAGGTGGCGCGGAATTCTTTTTCTTCGTTGATTCTTTTTTTTTAAGAGGGGAAGGGTGGAGTGTTCCCAATTTTTTCACAGACCCCCATTTTCGGGGGTGCAGTGCATGACGTGCACACGCAGTGTGCCGCAAGTGCGTGATGCAGCACATCACCATGCATGCAGCAATGCTTCATCCCTTTTGTGTAGTTCATTCAAGTGTTGTCCTGTGCTGCCTTTTATGAGTTCAATTTCCAGACGGAAATCAGCCAGCATGTGAGTGCAACGGCGCACGTGAAAGATTGCATGTGTGTGTGTGTGTGTTTCATCCCCTTATGAGTTCGATTTCCAGACGGAAATCAGTCGGCATGTGAGTGCAACGGCGCGCGTGAAAGATTGTATATGTGTGTGTGTGTGTGCTTCATCCCTTTTGTGTACTCCATTCAAGTGTTGTCCTGTGCTGCTCTGGTTGATATTTGCAGTACGCGTACATGACATATGTTGAATGGAGTGAGGCCCTTCATTTGTTTTTTGCTTTTACTTTCCTTTATGTTAGATTTCGATGGACGTACGCACACACACACAAACATCAGTTGTTTTTTTTAGGGGGGGGGGGGGGGGGAGCACTGGCATGCGCAGCCCGAGTTTTTTTTCTTCGTTGATTGTTTTTTTTTTTATGAGGGGAGGGGCGGGGTGTTCCCAATTTTTTCACAGACCTCCATTTTCGGGGGTGCGGTGCATGACGTGCACGAGCAGTGTGCCACACGTGCGTGCTGCAGCACATCACCATGCGCGCAGCAATCCTTCATCCCTTTTGCTCTGTGAAGGGAATGAGAGAGAGAATCTGGGGTCTTTTAAAACAACACAATTATGGATGGCTTGTGATGATCTGTGAAGGGAATGAGAGAGAGAATCTGGGGTCTTTTTAAACAACACACTTACGTAGAAAACCTCATCAGAATACTGGAATCTCAGCAAGTCACTCAATCCAGCGCCAAAACTCAGAAAACAGCAGGTCTTTCACTCTGTGGTCTGTAGGTCATTAGAGCAACATAACAGCACACATGTTTTCCCCTATGAGGGCGGCAATTGAATCTCGTGTAGAACTTTCGGGTCTTCTGCCCTTTGTTTTTTTTTTGGTTTAGCTGAACAGTAGCTGAAATTTTAAGACGCTTAACAGCACACGTACTGCCGTTGCGTAGCTAAGGAACCTCACAGGTGTGTGCCTTTTGGCTTTTTCTTTTTCCCCCTTGCCAAAGAAAACAGGAAAAGACCAGGAAAGGGACGCACGACGACCTGTCATGTTTCAGGCAGTTGACTACCGTCTTCACCCGAATAGAATGCCCAGTAATTATCACTGCGTCTGGACAGAAAATGGCCCCAAATACGGCTATAAGGACCGTGTGTTATATTCAGGTGAAGACGGTAGATAACATCTTCTAACATTAAATTAAGGCCTTCTGGCCTGCTGATTCCAACCTTTCCTACGACAAAGATTGATGCAAAACATGGTCCCTCCCTCCTCCTCCTCCTCCTCCTCCTCCTCCTCCTTCGTCTTCTTCTTCTTCCTCCGCTACTACTGCAGCCCCAAGCATTGCAAGTTACTGCATCGTTGATCATGTGTCTAATTTGTTATATTAAAACAAATGTACATTTTGGTGATTGGTTCCGAAGATCTGAAGTATCGTCTGTCTTGAACGTTGGTTTGTAGGCGGGTTCGGGTAGCCCTTTGGGTGGAGCATTTAGCAGTGCACCTTGGGCTGGTGAGATGATATCATCACCACCAGCACAGGACTTAAGGGCAATGCCATCTCGTGCGCGTGGAATGGAAACATCATTTGATCTATTCACTGGAGGCCCTTACATTCAGCGGAATTTCTCACCTAGGCAAGGTGAGCTATAGAACATACAAAAGTGTGTACAGGGGAGGTGGGAATTTCAGGGTAGGCAGTTGGTTGTGTACTGGTTGGATGCAGAGAGGGTAATAATACTCTCTCCAGTTCCTTGTTCCTTGTGGAATGTCTAATAGTTTGTTCCAGCTTCTGAGTGGTGGTGGCAGTGGTGGATGTGAAACAAATTATCTTTTCTGGGTCTTTTGTTTCTTTTTCTTTTTTTCTTTTTTTTAACTAAGGGGGCAAGCCTGTGGCATTGTTGTATCCATCTGACTGATCTGGACTCAGACTTACAATCTGTTCATGAAAACTATATGTCTGTAGCACAGTGTACCATTCTGCCACATGCGCTAGGTGTTCTGGCTATCTGTTCCTGTGGGGACTCAAAATTTCGCTCCCATATACGACTCCTTGTTCCTGCTCTTGCAGTAGCTGTGTTTATATCTTCGATTCTTATTCCTCATGGCATGGTTGCAGTTCTTTTTTTTTTTTACAATGATGGCCTTGAGATATGACCTCCAAACTGATCAATCCCAGTGCAAGGCATTTGGCTTTTAGGCCACGCCAGGCGTTGCCAGCAAAAAAATGCCCATGCCTGCCACCCTGAAAATTTGTGTCTGCCTGCCTGAAGGCAGCGGGGCTGTGAGGTGGAAAACGAAGGATTCCCCAGGCCCTGGCCGCCAGTTGGTTACAGCGAATACAGCCAGTGTGTGACCAGGCCCTGGGCTTCATGAGTACAATGTGGCCAAGGGCCTTGCGGCCAATGCGAGTGCAGGAAACACGGAAGCCACATCAGGCAGTTGAGCCCTCAGCCAACTGGGCCCACGGCACATTCCAGAAGGGCCCTGGGCCCAGATAGTGGACAACGCCCAGAAGCTACTGGCCACCCCAAGCGAGCGTCCAGGCTAGACACACTTTCCATATAGGAGAGTGCTGGGCTCCAGTTGGGCACATTCTGGCGTGGAGCCTAGCACTTCTGTGATGGTGGCTGGCTTGCACGCACGCTGAAGGCTGGCTGGGCTGGAGGAGAACGCGCTGGTGGGGGCACAAGCAAGCAGCTAGCTGCCTGGGCGCAGCCGGGTGAGCAACGGCCATAGCCAGGCCACTTGCTGGCACCCACTGGAAGGGTGCTGAGAGGTGGTCCTTGGGAGGAGGACGCAATGTGGGTGAAAGGTGATGGGTGGCGAAGAGGGACATACCAGGTGGTGGTGGTGATACCCGATGTCTCCATTCGTCATCTGACGTCATAGTTGGATAGGATAGTGCTTAGGTGCTGTCTGATCGTAGTCTGGGCGCCAGGTGCTGTATTAGAAGGGTGAATACAATGATTACGGAGGCGAGATAAGGGCTGACATTGTCAGTTGAATTATTGCTTTGTCCCTTATTTGGTGATACTTGGTGGATTCTGCTTTCCGTACGAGCACATGGCTTTCTGGCTTTCAATGAGATGATGCAATTTGGTTTCTGTACTTCGCGTGGCTCATTTTCCTTGCACCAGGAAATTTCAGAGTTATTTGGAATTTGAACTGAGGTCTGCATTTCAAAGTTCATGGGTTTACCAACTGAGCTAGGCCTGCTGAGTTCATACCTTGGATTCTCGTTCCCCATGGCATGGATGTGTTATGTGCCAGATTGAACTTCAATCCGCAACAAATTCACACATTCCCATACACGCATCCAATTGCAGAGTAGACTCGAAGGAGGCAAATACACACAAAACCGGAGAGAAGATATGCACAGGGGAAGCTCAAAATGCACAGAGAATTGAAAAGCGAATTTCAATTCTGCAATCCCTCGTCCTCCTCCAATCAATCCAGAGTACTTGTTCCAAGAATCACAACCGCGTTTACAACAACCCCGAACAACCAGAAACAAGTGTTCAACGAAGTATGCAGGAGTCTTCTTCTTCCTCCTCGCCACCTCATACCCCTGGCTATGGCTGACGTAGCAGCAGTAACCCCACAGCTGTCACAACGTACCAATCTGAACCAGCAACCCTAATGATAACAGCGCCAGCTCAGCACCCGCATGGAAGTGCAGCGCTGGAAGTCCTGATGAAGAAGGAGACAACCGATCCAGCACTTCGAAGAAGACAAAGTTCCTCGAGAGGAGGAACAGCAGATATGGCTGCCAAGTGGAAGATGGCAGCGCCCAAATCCAACAACACAGTCTTGTGGAAGCTCTCATGCAGAGCCACGAAATAGCAGCAGTGCGATCTTCAACTTTGTTTCCCAACCCCAGCTATGGCTGGGCTTCGAGGAAGAAGATGACCTCGCCCAAAACAGAGCAGCAGCGCTCCAGCAACGGACGGGCAGAGTTTCCCCAGCCAACAAAAACGTGAAAAGACCCAAACCCCATTTCCTGCCCGCTACTTCTACCCTCTGTCTAGACCTATGACAAGCCAAAAGGAACAGGTCGAATGGCCTAAGTCTACCAAACAGAGACTACTAGTGACAGACGCAGGAATCAAGTCCCATAGGGTGCAGCAGTCACAAACAAAACACACGAGTTACAGGTCACGGGATCAAGTCCTGCAACCTCAAAACAAGAAAACAAACTACAAAGCCAAACACTTAGTGTACAGCCCCACTGGGAAACTGTGATTTATTGCATTCTTTCCCTCCCGGGGAACGAGGACCCACGAGCTACATAACCAACTACCAGCCCTATTGGCGGAGAGGTATTAGCTAGAGGATCGCTAAACATCCATAGTGGTGGAGAACGCAAAGACCTCAGAATCTCAGAGGGCTATGGTGAGATTATCAGATTAGATTGATTAGTTGAATGCGAGGGTATTGGCCAGGTAATCAACTTCTAGGCAACCAATCAGCTTCTGGAAATCTACGGGTTGTAGCTCAGATTATCAGAAAGTGTTGGCTAGCTGAATGCAAGGGTATTAGCCTGGTAATCAGCTTGTAAAGAGCTAACAACATCACAGGGATGGGATAATGAATTCTTTGTTGTAATTTGCTTGGAATATCTGAATCTATCAAACACACAATCGGTATATGTAATTGACTAGCTTCAAGTATGGCCATGGAATTCTGATTTGCATTCATTATCACCAAGCAGTCTGGAATATCGTTTGTAACAATTCCTTCAAAGCATTTTTTCATTTTTTTATAACGCGGTGAAAATTAGACGATCGAGGTTTAGATTAACAGCATGGACCATCTAGTTGAATGCAAGGGTGTTAGCCTAGTAATCAACTTTGCTATAATCCATTGATTCTGAAAATCTGATTAATTTCTGTCAGGACTGGGTATCAGTTAGACTCCTCAACTGCTGATCTGTGTATTTGCAAGCGTGATACGCAGATTCTTCCCAAGAATAGGGTAGGATCTGACAAGATCTGTATATGGGGCCAAGCCTGACCATATCCAGCAACAACGATTGAACTTACAGAGTCATGTGTAGGGTAGGTCTATCTGAGTAGAGAGTTCAGTCACAAACAGATTTCACTCTGGCCAATCAGGCTGAGACATTACTAGGACAAAGCCCAGTTAAAAGGAATTTCCAGCTCTATAGGTAAAATTCAGACTGTCACTACAAGTGTGCGACCACAGAGAAACACTGAAAATCTGATTTCTACCCAAAAGAGCAAAACTTAGGATGGTGTAGGAGAATTCGAGGTGAGATTTGTACTAATCATACGCTCTCTCAAACACAGGTCCTCCATCCAATGAGTGCAGTTCAGTGTGAGAACATGAACGTGATCAGACAGCGAATGCCACTCACAGGAAGTACAAGGGGGTAGTTAAACAACGATTCAATGTAAACTCACATTGGAATTCTTGTCAGACTGAAAGCAATCTTGGGGCTGATTCATTGTCAAGAGAAGATGAATTCAGTGCAATCAACAGTTTGTCCATCATCAGTGTTTGAGAAACTTGAATAAGCCCGGAACTTAGCGTACTCATTCTCAAGCACAGGAATGCACAGACAACCAATGGGATCAGTGAAGGAATCAGGCTCAAGGTAGCTATACCAGGAGGAGGTTTCCATTAAAGAAAAGCAAAGAAAAACGAGAGAAAAAGGAGGGAGAATGAGACAAAGGTGGAGAAAAAGGTGGAGGGAAATGGGTCGGCCAGTAGGGACTGGCAAGTCCCTACTGTGACCTCATCACTCCAGACGTTCGGCCGGACCTGTTTCTGGACTGCTCCAGACCGTCCAGATTGAATGTATATATATCGTCACAAACAGAACTGCCCGGTAATATATATATATATATATATATATATATAGGTGAGTGAGTGATAGTCTACTTTGATTTTGGTTAAGGTGGATTATCACTTACAGTGTAATCAGTGAGGGGATTCTACAGACTGTTGAGGGTTCAGCCTCCTGATGAGTCGGTG